GCTATTACATAAAAGCATGTTATTTAGCAAGTAAGAGGTTGGCAATCTGCATGGTAGAGTAGGAACTTGCCATAGAGGGATCACTTTGACTCTTTGAGTTGGCCAGCTTGAACATGTATTGCAATATATGCAAAGTAAGAATCCCTGTTTCTTAAGCAAAAATGTACTATGAATATGTAAGGGTTAACTTACAGTATGGTTACACTTCTTTAGTATCTCACAGAAGCCATTTAGGACCTGAATACAGAGGTTAGTAATTAAAAGGACAGGGATGCCTGAAGTTGCTGGCTTAATCTTTAATGGAGTAATAGACTATGCTCCCTGTGTTGCATATATATATATATATATATATATATATATATATATATATCACACACACACAGTTTTTTTTTACACTGACTACATTGATAGCTTCTTCCCCAACCATCTGTCCAGACAGATATCGTTTAGCTATGCGTAAATGTGTGAATATTTGGGAGAGTCTGAACTGCTGTTTAACAGAAACAGACAACTATCTTAGGAACTTTGCTTGCCATTAGAAAATAAGCATCATAAACTCCTAACTAATCTGTTTTTTACTGGTCACATACACTCTGATATAAAAGTCATTGACTTTTTATATATGGGGAGATAGTGGGAGAAAATTAAAATTCTTAAGAAAGGTATGTGTGACAAAAGCTATACACTGCAATTATGCTTGCCTTCAGGGTGTAATATTTATAGTAGATTTGTAACTGTGTTGGATAAATCTGCTTGAACATAATGTGAATGTATGCTTGCTTAGTGAACTAGGGCTGTCCTCACTCTGAATGTAAATCTATTCCACTCTTTAGTAAATTAACCCAATAAAATTGAAGTTATTAGTAAGTTTTGAACTTATCATTTTTTCATTTTTTTAACCATTTATCATCCTTAGGTTTTATATATATGTATATATATATATATATATATATATATATACCCTGTTCCAGATTATTATGCAAATGATATTTTTCTCATTTACTAAATAATTGATGTAAATAACAGTCAGCATAATTCTCATGTTATCAACTATTAAGAGTACAATTCAAATTTTATTGAACAAACCTCCTAATGATAACAGTATTGTTTTCTAAACATAAAAAACTTCCAATGCACTGTTCCAAATTATTACACACATTAAGTTTCAAAAACACTTTATAGGTTGTAAAGAACTGAAAATTGTCATTTTGTTGTGTTTGCAGCATATTTACTGAAATCAAAAGCTATTTTAATCAACACTGTTAACAACATTTTAACTTTTTAAACATTTTAACAGGTCACGTTACATTTTAACATAGGACCCCTTATTTGATAGCAGCTTCACAAGTCTTGCATCCATTTAACTTGTGAGTTTTTGGACAGTTTCTGCTTGAATTTGTTTGCAAGATGTCAGAATAGCCTCCCAGAGCTGCTGTTTGAATGTAAACTGCCTCCCACCCTCATAGATCTTTTGCTTGAGGATGCTCCAAAGGTTCTCAATTGGATTGAGGTCAGGGGAGGATGGAGGCCACACCATGACTTTCTCTCCTTTTATCCCCTTAGCAGCCATTGATGCAGAGGTATTCTTTGCAGCAGGAGCTGGTGCATTGTCATGCAGGAAGATGATTTTATTATGGAAAGGATAGTTCTTCCTTCTGTACCAGGGAAGAAAGTGGTCAGTCATAAACTCCACATACTTTGCAGAGGTCATCTTTACACCTTCGGGGACCCTAAAGGGGCCGACCAGCTCTGTTCCCATGATTCCGGCCCAACATATGACTCCACCACCGCCTTGCTAACGCCGCAGCCTTGTTGGAACAGGGTGGCCATCCACCAACAATCTACTACTCTATCCATCTGGACCATCCAGGGTTGCACGGCACTCATCAGTGAACAGGACTGTTTGAAAATTAGTCTTCATGTATTTTTCTGCCCAATGCAGCCGTTTCTGCTTGTGAGCATTGGTTAGTGGTGACTGAATAGAAGGTTTATGCACAGTTGCTAGACTCTGGAGGACTCTACACCTTGATGTCCGTGGGACTCCAGAGGCACCAGCAGCTTCAAATATCTGTTTGCTGCTATGTAATGGTATTTTAGCAGCTGCTCTCTTGATCCGATGCATGGATCTGGCAGAAATCTTCCTCAATGTGCCTTTATCTGCACTAACCCGTCTGTGCTCTGAATCAGCCACAAATCTCTTAATAGTGCAATGATCACGCTTACCTTTTCGGGAAGTTTCTAATGTTTTCATACCTCGTCCAAGGCATTGAACGATTTCACTCTTTTCGGCAGCAGAGAGATCCTTTTTCTTCCCCATATTGCTTGAAAATGGTGCTCTGCTTTAGTAGTTTTTCCTTAAATTGGGCTCACCTGCCAATCACAGGTGTCCGAGATTCATCTTTGTGACACTTAAATAGGATTTGCATAATAATTTGAACAGGGTATATATATTTATAACATATATATATATATATATATATATTATATATATATGGCCTTAGGAGCAAGTGGTTTTACCAAGATCATGGCTGCAGCCATGATCCTGATATAATGTTTTAAATCCAGTGACTGGATATGTTTTCCAGAAAATTTGTGTTTGATAAACAGCTGCACAAAAACCATATGACATAAACAATGTCATCAGCCATGTTCTTATTCTTCAGGACCTTTGCTTTCAGAAAATATATATGTATGGGTTCTAGAAAAAATGCTGATTTTAACATGTAAGTGAGGAAGGTCAAATTTGCCATGTAAGACATGATTAATTCTTCCTTAAGATGTAACTATGGAAATTTAAATATTTGTATAGTCATAAAAATCAGTCAATGGAAATTAACCACTTGCCCTCCAGAGGATTTACCCCCCTTCCTGACCAAGCCATTTTTTGCGATAAGGCGCTACAATATTTTAACTGACAATTGCACGGTCATGCAACACTGCACCCAAATTAAATTTATGTCCTTTTCCCCCACTTTTGGTGGTATTTGATCGCGTGTCGGTTTTTACTTTTTGCTCTATAAGCAAAAAAAGACCAACAATTTTGAGAAAAAAAAAAACAATATTTTTGACATTTTGCTATTAAACATGTCCAGTAACAAAATGTAAAAAATCTAATTTCGTCATAAATTTAGGACAATATGTATTCTGCTACATGTCTTTGCTAAAATAAAATCCCAATATGTGTAAATTAATTGATTTAAGTGAAAGTTATAATATTTACTAATGGAGGTATAGATACTGGAATTTTTTTTTTTACTAGTAATGGCAGCGATCAGCGACTTTTAGCAGGACTGCAGGAATTCTGCTGGCATTCTGACACCGGGGGAACTGATATGGTGTCACTGACATCCCCAGTGACACCAATAAGTGATCAGTGCTAATAAAAATGACTGACACTGTATTAATGGCACTGGGCAGGAAGGGGTTAATATGACGTCCTCCCAGAACGCGCTCTCTCCCGCACACCCCCCCCAGGGGCGCGCATCCGGGGATGGACACAGCTGATCACGTGATGTGGTTAAAGGCCAATCACAGCGGCCTTTTACCACTTGATCAGCTGTGTCCAATGACAAAGCAGATCACAAGTAAATGCAGTTGCCGGTTATTAGCTGCACTTTCCTCACGCTGTCACAGTGTGAGGAAAGCACTGCCGATAACTGGCAATTGTCAGAGGATGGATCGGCACCGATCATCAGGGCACTGATGATCAGTGCCCTGATGATCAGTGCCCAGCAGTGCCACCCACCAGTGCCACCCACCTGTGCCCAGCAGTGCTGCCCACAAGTGCCCAGCAGTGCCCATCAGAGCTGCCCAACAGTACCACCCATCAGTGCCCAGCAGTGCCTAAAGTCAGTGCCGTCAGTCAGTGCCACCTATTAGTGCCCAGCTGTGCCACCTATCAGTGCCCATCATTGTTGCATATCAATGCAGCATCATCAGTGCTGCCTCATCAGTGCCAGCTCATCAGTGCCGTCTATCAGTGCTGTCTTTCTGTGTTGCCTGTCAGTGCCCATCACTGCTGCCTATCTGTGCCACCTTATCAGTGCCGCCTATCAGTGCCCATCAGTGCCACCTATCAGTGCAGTCTCATCAGTGCCCATCACTGAAGGAGAAAAATTATTTGTTTGCAAAATTGTATAATAGAAACAAAGAAAAACTTTTTTTTTTCAAATTTTTTGCTCTTTTTTTGTTTATAGTGCAAAAAATAATACACCCAACGGTGAGTAAATACCACAAAAATAAAGCTCTAAAAAGTGGTGAAAGCTAAAAAATTGGCCTGGGCAGGAAGGGGGTATAAGTGACCAGTAGGCAAGTGGTTAATGTAATGTCCGGGTGCTTTGCTTACAAAGAGAACTAAGCAGCCGGGAGCTGTCATGCTGCCAGCAATTTGAACACACTTTTTTCTTTGTAAATATTGCTATAGTAGGTAGTATACATCACACAGGGCAAGCAGAATCAGGGCATCCCCCAGGCATGTTATTTAATGGAGTTTTGCATTTTCAATGTTTCACTTCAAGCATTACCAAAATCACTGCTTCTTGCCAAATAGAATTAAAAAAAATGCTTTTTTGCTTTGGTACATGCCCCCAAGGGTAGTACCCAGCACCCATGCCATTTGTTTGCAACTTCCCTGCCAATTTGCTTAGAAAATGGCCACTCTACAATCTCTTTGATCTTTTTTTAGGTGCATGATCAAACCTTCTAGGGACAATTCGTAACCAAAGAATTATATGTGAATTTGTCTGAATTCACATCATCCAGGTAGGCAAAAAAATTAAAAGATCTTGCAGCATTTCATCATTGATGAAATGTTGAAATGTCTCAGGGACAGTGCAAAGGCCAAATGGCATGACCAAGGATTTGAAATGTTTATATAAAAGAAGTTCCCCATTCATTCACTAATAGAAATAGATGTTCTTTTTGTATCAATCTGCAAAGATTCAGGTGTATCAGAATCTGAAAAACGTTAGGGCTCTTCTGTGCTGACTGATGTGACAGTGTGGTGATCTGTCACAATGTAAAAAGGATATTTCACCCAGGATTCTCAACAAGGCAGGTTGAGGGGCTCCAGGGTGCTTGTTTAAGTTGGAGGAAACTGTGTTTTCACTTTCCTTGGTTCTTAGCACATCTCCTAGATTGTAAGCTCGAAAGAGCAGGGCCCTCGATCCCCTCATGTTTTGCATTGTATTGGTATTGTTCTGTCACATGTTCTGTCCCCCTTTGTAATGTACAGCGCTGAGCAAACTATTGGCGCTTTATAAATACTGTATAATAATAATAATAATAATAATAAACTCTGTTTGGGACCTAGAGCTTGGAGATTTCAGTGATATGGATGGGAGGAAATCTCCAGTCCTGGGACCAGGTTTTAGGAATGGCCAGGAGACTGATTTGGCAGGTGTGTGTGGGTCTCTTATAGAGTCAGGATCAGGGTTCTGGGCTCCACCTTCCCGAGGAGTCCATGTGGGTGCAAGGGAGCAGCCACAAGTGTGCATGGTGGCACAGAGTAGTCTTCCAGAGCAGACAGAGGGCCCAAGACTGTGGGCTGGAGAAGCAGGAATGCTGTGAAAGGGCACTAACCAAGTTACAGTGTGTTGTATGTGAATGGTCAAGAGGACCAAGACATAAAGCCTGAGCAGAGGTGCTGCTAAAGATAGCCAGGAGGCTGAATCTTTTTCTTTGGCATTGATGGTGTATACCCCTGTGTGGGAAACCTATGTTGTATGGACTTTTCTTGTTTTCCTTTTAATAAAAGTGGGCTACCAAGCCCTGAAAAATAGTTCTTGACTGGTGTGAACTCACTGGCAAATGCATCTAACACCGAGCTAAACATCCCCAAATGTTACACTGGCTAAACAAATGCATACAAAATACTGGTCACCGACCCAGGTCTATAACTGGCTTTTTCAGCAGTGAACAAGGACAGGCATCGCATGCGAAATATAAATAGGGCTACTCTGTTCAAATTGCCAGCCAGCTACCCAACAACATTGGTCAGCAACTCCAGTCTAAAAATGGCTTTTATCAGCAAGGAACATGGATAGGTATCACTTATCAAAAAGGGGGATAAGAAAGCCAGTTCAATCTGCCAGCCAGTTAGCCAACTATCAAAAACCAAATTAACCTGTCTAACAACATGCGTTTAAAAATGGATTTAGTTAGCACACATTTGCAAATACATACGTAAGCCACAGAGCCACATCACAGCACCCTGAATTTCTGTGGTCCTAACTCCATAAATCTTGAGAGTCCTCATAGTAGAGGCACATGCATTTAATGGATAGACCAAGGGCAGGTGGACCTGAGGGAGCCCACCCCTCATTAAAGGTACAGGAGCGCACTGACACCCAGCATATAGCACAACGGCAGCCAGGGTATCCAATGCACCCACAAACCTCAAAAAATACATACAAAATACTGGTCACCGATCCAGGTCTATAACTGGCTTTTTCAGCAGTTCACTGCTGGGTTAAAAGAACCTCATTGGAAAATATGTCTAAAGTCCATGACTCTATAAGCTCTCCACCTCACTTCATGTTGTCATTTGGCTAGTTACATATAGGTTTCAGTCTGCCAGATAGGACTATATTCAGTAAACCCTGTAACGTTCTGAAGGTATTTAACTTTATTCCATATTTTCTGAATGAGGTTATGCAGATTTAGACATAATTAGATGAATGTCTTAAGGCCAATAGGGATCTCGTCTTTGGCAAGCTCATTTTTGCTTGTTCAGAAAGCCCATGGTGGGACTGGCTTTTTTTTTAATATGTTACTTAAAGCGGAGCTCCACCCAAAAGGGGAAGTTCCACTTTAAGACTGCTCCCCTGCTCCCTATTAAGGATTGGCACCTTTGGGGGGTGGGGGGGAGCGGGTACCCGAATTTGACAGGTACCTGCTCCCAATTTCGGTCGGAACACCTAGGCAATTGGAAACGGAAGATGTCCTCTCTCCTTCCCTCCCAGTAGTCTTCTGGGACACATGACAGGTCCCAGAAGACTACAGGACAAGTCATGAAGTGCAGCACTACTCAGGCATGCACAGTGGGTACCCGGCTGTGAAGCCGCAAGCAATCTCAGCCGGGTGCCCACACTAAAGATGCCGACCTCCAGGAATCCCGGACAGCACGTGAAACGGGCTGTGGGGGGGACACACCACGGGACCAAGGGACAGTTAAGGGGCTGTTTTTTAAAAGTCAGCAGCTACAGTTTTTGTAGATGCTGACTCTGTGATCCATTACCTTCTTCCCTATCCGTAGAAGCTTTGGAAATTGAAAGCAGAACCCAGAAATTACATAGTAGCATTCACTTGTCTCTCTCCCTTCAGGCAGTTAACACCCACCACACCAGTCCTAGATCTGCAGGTGGGACCATGAAGCCCAGTATACATGGCATTAGTTGGCAGTTGGGTGGGGATGGGGGGGGGTGATATATTTAAAGGGTTGTGAAAGTGATTGGGAGGCTGTACAGCTTTGTGAATTACTTCCACCGGAAAGGTTATCGCTTAACAAATTTAAGCACAGTTCTGAGTCTAGCAGTCAGTAGTGTATTTTAAACCAGATAGTAGACAAGTGGTTAAAGATTTTTACTGCTTGTTAAGAATATACTTGAAAGCCTGGTCACAAGTCCCACTTAAGGCCTCGTTCACACCATATGCGCAGAAAAACTGACAGAAACTGACGCATGGGATTTGACTTGCAGAGACATCAGTTTACATCAGATTTCATGCGCATTTCAATGAGTTATATACATGTTGCAGATTCCTGCACAGAAAAATCTGCAGGTGATACCAGGTGATACCAGTGTTGGTGGTGTGAACAGGGCACATAGAGAACAATTGCACATAGAGAACAAATGCAGAAAGCATGCAGAAAAACTAATGTCTCTGCACCATGGTGTGAACGAGCCCCTAAGCTGTTGACTGGTAGAAGTGTACATAACCCATTAATCATATGTGTGTACATATACAGTATACTAAATAAAGTAAAAAGGGCACCAAGAGTAGAGTGAAGTAATCAAATTGTGTTTAATATCAATCAGGTAAATTCCTAATTTACCTGATTGACATTATATACTGTGTGCGTATATATATATATATATATATATATATATATATATATATATATATATATAAAACTGTTGTACAAACTGCATGAATAAAACACTTTGGTAATACAATAAAAAGCTTTCCTATATTATTATGGGTAACATTACATGGCTAGTTTATAAGCAATATTTAAATGTCTTTTAGCTTATAAAAATAGTAAACAAATATACTTTTCACACTGCTGTGATTTATTATATTGTTCTTTAACTTACTAAAATAACATACATAAAGTTTATATGGTAGCAGAAAGCTAACTTATGTGTTAGAAAAAAAAATCCTCTGATGGATGTATTTACATGTCTAACAAAAGCTATTGAAAGGATACACTTTTTGGTAGTTTGTTTAGACATGCTAATAAGAAACCACAGTAATTGAGAGAAGAATCCTGTAAACAAAATAAAGAACTGTGACCTTTTTAGAAGGGATTCGGAATAAGTGTTGCTTTACTAAAGAGATTTGTCATCAGGATCAAGATTTACTAAGAAGCAGCAGCCAACAATTACTTCACTGTTCAACACTGCCATTCCGAAGATTAATGACTTGTTCTCCATTGCTCTTGTGCTAAAGATACACCACTGTTTTAAGCGAAATCCCTAAAATACACATCTTTAAATATTTACATAAAAGTTTTACTCTGGAACAAAAACAGACCCACGTTTCTTATAAGACTTTTACCATTTGGGGAAGAAACATGAACTGTATGAAAACCTTCCAGCTGTACGTATTGGGTTATTTTATATAGGCTATTTTCATATGATGTTTAAAGGTTTCTCATAACTGAATGTTAGGATTCATTGGCAATAATACTTCTTAAAGCTAAGCTCCAGCCAAACAGTTATATATTCCCCTGAAATACATATATGTGAACTGTTTTAACTGCTAAAAGATTTGTAGCTATGTTCTGAGCATGTTCCTTCAAGACAGCATAACTAGGTCATTGATATCTCTCTTCTTCACTTTAAAGAGTATGTGAACATTAACATTAACTTCTCTTATTTGGTCCCTCTGAAAAAAAATATACATTTGAAATAATTTTTTTGTATCTGTTTCATTAGTGCAAAAAAAAAAGTATTGAAATATTGTGAGCTGATAACCAGCTGTGGTCTCTGCCTGTGTTGACTGTTATCCATTACATTGTTCTCAGCTATCTCTAAGGACTACAGAAGCATTCCCATCTATGCTATGGAGAATAGGAGAGGGGTGCAGTTCTGTTGTCCTATTCTTTTCCTGTTGTCCTGATACAGTAGGGTAGCTGAGATTCGTCATCCTAGGACTGGAAGTGATTTACTAGCAGAATTATCGGGTCAAAATGAGGGGGAAAAAAAGAAAAAACGCATGCCGACAGCACATTCAAGAACTGGTAATCTGCAATTTATATCATTTTGTTTTTTGGGCTTAGATATGTTTGAAGCAACAAAGCTTTTCTGTGACCTGAACTCTGGCCTGCTGATTGATAAATAATCACTCTGATTACTTCCCGTGTAAGCAAGCTACCAGTATTAGATTGTCAGTGCAGTACAGTATAACTACTGTGCAGTACAGTATAACCTGCATAGCCCTTACAGGCTACTCAAATGGACACAGCAGATGACAGATCATTTTACCAGGCTGGCTCCAGTACCATGTGATTGTTGTGACCAATCACAGCGATCACATGACAGTTGTACACAATGAATAGCTTTCAAACATAGCCACTCATTGTGTACTATTGTGATGATATCTGTAATTGTTTAACAATTGCTTAGGGACAATCAAAGCACATCTGTACCATGTGATAACTGTGATCAATCACAGCTATCACAATAGTACACCCTGTGAATGAATGTATGCCATTCAATCAAAAACAATTGCTTATAACAGTGATCATCACTGTCATACGCAGTCCAAAAAAAATTACCACCTTCTCAGTGGTATCACCAGTCAGTATTATTGATCATCCCTGATCACTGCCACACCAGTCTTATGATGACGGTGTACTGCTTTGGTGACAGTGTGTAAAAAAACATGTAAAAAATGTATTTAAATTCTTAATTGACAACAAATTTACAAAAAAAATGACAACCTCAAGAAAAAAAAGAAACCTCACAATGCCTCTTGCCAAATACCTTGGATTGTCTACTTTCCAAAAATGGGTCATTTGGGGGTATTTCTACTGTCCTGGCATTTTAGGCCCTCAAGAAATTAGATTAGTAGTACATCAGGACTGATCGATTTTGAAATATATATACAAAATATTTTTAGACTCTATAACTTTCACACAGACTAAATAACATACACTGATTTGGGTTATTGTTACAAAAGAAATGTAGCAGAAAACAGTTTGGATCATATTTATGAAGAAAGGTTGTTTTATTTGCAAAATTTTACAACAGAAACTAAGAAAAATGTTTTTTTTATTTCAAAATGTTTCATATATTTTTTCTTACATAGCAAAAAATAAAAAATAAAAAAACAGTGATAATTAAATACCA